GAAATCTCTCGTACAGATCGGAGCGCACTGAACGAAGTGAGTGTACATCCGCTGATGCAGCGAACCAACATACTCGCAAGTGAACCGGTTGCGATGCGTAACAGTGTAAGCAGTTTTGCTTTGTTTTGTTTTGTTGTCGACTTATGTTTGGGTTTGTGAAGTGTTGTGGACATTGAACGGGTGAGGCAAGCATTTGCTATGATTTCATACTGTCGTTGGGTTCGGGAGTAGATACTCTAGATGAATTCGAAGTGAGCGATTTCACGTTTAGAATTATGTTATATTCACTTGTCTCTTTGTAATGGTCACAGAATTGCGGTTGGGTTAGTAACGGCGGTTTCCACATTGCGGGTTTGCTTAGTCCACATTTAACATCTTAACGTGAATTTAGCGCACCGTTCAGGGTTATCGCTTCATGATACCGGGTCGACGAGCGGCCGCAGTGAGTGCATCGGGCTTGCATCGACAAGGCGCTGTGCGACGTTGGGGTACAGTGGCACCACAGCGCGATATTCTGGAAAGACTCATCGACGGCGGAACGGTATCGAACGCTACTCCGAATTTCCTTGACGGCCTTTTGGCACGTCAGCAATTCCATGTTATTGTAAGTGATTTTCTGATTTACGATGGGTGAATTGGTGTTGTTGTATTGGACGAGAGTTAGTCAGAGATGCTAATTGAGGACATTATTTTTTTGGAATGGGGATAGATGGCACTGTTGAAGATTAGAAGTGAATGGTAGTAAAATTATTGATGGTATTAATTTTGATACAGATCAGATCAGCTATGAAGATGCGGTAATTTAACTGCGAAAGGATTTAGAGATATGAGATAAGCTTGTATCATTCAGCCATGTGGTTACTGACTGAGTTGAATAAATGGTTGAGGTGATTTGATGAGAGGTGATGTGTGAAACGGGAGATAAGTTTTTTTAGTTGTATGATAACGCAAACGACAATGTCAATGGGGGTACATCAATGGGTGTCGATGATCGTCGAAATACGCCAGTGCCGTTGCCGTTAGAACGTTTCACAGAGGCTGCGCTATTAATCGATGCGCACTCGCATTTCTATGTGTGGTTGATACTCGCACAACAAATCACGGCACATCTCGACGAGATTGAAGCGGTACGTTCGCATTTTTTGTTTGTTTGTNTTTTTTTTGTAAATCACGCATTTAAGCAAAGATTTGGGCTCTCATTCCATCTGAACTGAGTGTTATTCGATGGTTGTTTTCAAGACAGAATTTGAAACATTGCGATAACTTTTTAAAAAGTTTCGTACTTTTTGCCGAAAGTTTTGTACATCCCACTCGTACTTGTGATTGTAAAGTTGTACGAAAATTTTACGAATGGCAGTTTCGAGCAGCGATGAATGTGGCATCATTTTAGCGAGAAAAAGAAGAGAAGAAAGCAAGCGAAGAGGCGAAAAACGCTGAATCGAACAATAGACAAACGACGAGTGATGAGACGAATGAAGTGCCGAATAGTAATGCTTCTGAAGAGAGGGAGTCGAGCGATCGGCCAGCTGCTGATGAAATTCGTGTTTTGGATCCGGACGAGGTTTCTGGTTTATTTGCATATTGGTCGTTCATTTTTTAATACATAACATCGGCGAAAGCACCTCGCCAATTTGGCTCGTGTTGCTTTTAAAAGATGTTCGAAGATCGAGTGGGGTCGGGTTGAGTTTCAACGAAATAATTTTGCATTTGAAGGATGTGTCGATATCGCGTGTTCTGTTGAGAGAGATGGATACGATACGAGCAGAGAATGATAGTGGAGGTGTTGAACCGATGGATACTTCAGGTACAACATCATTTTGCATTCTTTGTGCTTATTGATGATTACATCGTTTTGAAATTGCGGTTTTTACATTGGATAGCGTTCATGCGCATGCATCATTGCTTCTCATTGTTGCTTGATTGAAATTGGTACTGCGCTTTTTTGACTCTCAATAAGATTTTATCACTGATTCCTACTTGATTTCGTGTCATTTGTGTTAATTTTATCACTTAACGGTCTTCTTTGAACGATTCATTTGGTTGTTTATTGAAGTGAATGGTAAGCGCTAAGTAGTAGGTGCAGTTCTTTGAAAAGTAGTGATAACCGGATTGTGATCGTTGTTGATTCAGAAGGATTACCGAACGAGAACACGGAAAGTAGCTCACTGCCAGCGCAACAAGAGCAACATCAGCAGCAAGAAGGAGAGGCGGTAGACACGGAACATGAGCGACGAACACAACAAGAAACTAGTAGCAACACAAGTGGCATGGTTGTAGACACGACTGGTGATGTGCCACTCGCGGAAAACATTTCTGAACAACAAGAACAACAATCAGTACAAATGATTGACGGTTTGTTTATTGGTTTTGAAGTTGCGGTTTTGAAATAGCTGCATTTTGATCATAAACATGTTTTGTGTCCTCAAAAATGTACTGAACTCCAGCCTAGTGAAGATGTGATCTCACTAAAGATAGATATTGAATATATAGGATTATGTATGATATATAGATATGTAATAAAGATGAAGGAGAAGTTAATATATAAATTTATTTGTTTATTTTCATCGCTTCTATCTTTGTCAGCTCATGTGTCAGTTTTACTTTTTATCAGTTTCTTTTCGTTTTGTTTAATGAAATCCCAAAAAGTGTTCAAAATTGGAAATGTGTGACTATAACGACAATGGCCTACGAGCGAATAGTTCTGGCCANGAGCAGCAGCAGCAACAACAACAACAGCATGGAGATGAATCACGAGCTGAGTTGTCGACTCCGATTGATGACTATCGTGATATTCTTGGAGGTGCGCGCATAGTAGTACACTTTTATTTTAACTCCATGTTCAGTTTTGTTGAATGCGAGTGAGCCGGGTTTATTTATGGTGACTTAATTGCATGATTGTCGTTACTGAATATTAAATGGTGCGGTGTGGGATGTTGATTCGTTACAGTATAATCAGTTGATATACAATGAACGTGTTTAGCATTTATGTGTTCGTTCAGATATTATGGAATAGTTGATGAGGGCGATTCAGAAGTTGACTTATAATTAGTGAACTATTGAATTGTTGCGTAACGTAACCTGACGAAATTTGAAGATATCGAGATACCGGAAGGTGTGGATCCGGCCTTCTTGGCTGCACTTCCAGAGGATATTCGTGCGGAAGTGATTCGAGACCACGAACGTCAACAACGCGCACAACGACTGGTGGCACAACAAGCAAGTGCTGCAGCGAGGAATGAGAGCGGAGACGGGAGTGGAGCAGAAAGACGAGAGCTCGAAACAGAGGCTGCTGCTGGAGCAGCTCATACGGAAAGCGGTGGAGGGGCCACGTCGATGAGAGGTGCTGCGGAGGAAATCGAGCAGCTGGATCAAGACTTCTTGAATGCGTTACCGCCCGAACTGCAGGAGGAAATACTGGCACAGCATGAACGATCCGTGCGACTCGCAAATGAGCGTGCCGCCGCCCAGAGTGCAGTAGCTGAACCGTCATCGGGTGCCGCAGGTGCTTGATTGTTCTTT